GAGTTCCATTAAAAACACAGAAAGCCAAGAATGAACTTAAAATTTAAAAGGAGCTAATGTGAATCTGTCAGAATTATACAGTGTGACATTGAGTGTCATGACCTTAATTAAGATACTTAATTTCTCTGGGCCTGAAGCCTCTCAGTGGTTAAGCGGTGGCGTGGACAGAGGACGCTGACGCACACCGAGGGTCTCCTGTGTGCTGAACACACAGAGCTCTTTCCAACCCACTTCACAGCTGTCCTGCAAAGTTGTTGGGATTGAGCCAACTGAGCCTCTGACAAACAATTTGCTTATTGGTCTTGTGCTAATTGTCCGTAAGTCTTTTAAAAAGCGTATATTACTTGTAACTTTTGCAAAATAAATTCAGGACCTTGCACTTTCTATACTTACATATATTAGGTCCTGTAAACTGAGTTTTTTTTCTTTTAGCTCTATAAATTCCAGCAATATGTATTTTAGGATTTGAAAGAAAATAAACTTTTTACCTGAGAAATATGATCCCCCTTTAAATTATTAGGCCCAGAGAGGCATTGAAATGTGGCAGCAGTCACGGCTCACTCCCCCTCGAGCTAAGGAATCACCTCTGGAAGCTACTTGCTATGTGGGCTCTAGACTGACTAACTCCAAGCAGCCATAAATTAACCTAACAATGTCGCATGCTGGGCAGTATAGCTCATACCCTATAGTGAGTTCGATAAGGTATAAGTAATCACTAATCAATGTTATTTCTGTAAACCAATGAGAATGTCTAACACACAATTTTTGTAATTGCACCCTGTCCTGCTTTGTCATTTGAAAAAAAAAAAACACCTAAGCCTCTCCCTTGTTCTCTAGAGCAGGTTCCAAGGTAAGCTGGAAGTGTTTCTGGGCTGGAGCCCTCACTCTTGGCCAAAATAAACCCCCAATGCTTATTTTGCCTCAGTTTCTTTCTTTAGGTCATCAAGGGTGATCAATGAAGACACTAACCTTAGACACATCTTGTAGCCACAGGAGCAATGTTCTCCAAGTTATAATGTCACCAAGAGGGTGGTCCTTTATGCAGTTCTGGTGCATTTAATAAGGTCCTATCCCCAATAAAGACAGCTGCTGGGAGTCAATGGAAAGAGACCTTAAGCTCCAGGTTCAATGTCTCATGCCTTAAAAGCCTCAAGTTCCAGATTTACTGGAACTAACTATTCTCTTCCATTGCCTGACAATATGCCAGTTTTCAGTTTAAGGAATGAAACAGTGGTCATGGTAACTACCATCAAACAATCTTTATGACACTCTGAGCTCTAAATCTATGCAGGAGAAAATAAAAATGCTAACATGTGTCTCCCTTCAAAACGACTGGCCCATGGAACACACAAACTTAGAGGCAGCCCTGCTTGTTCAGAGCTTTCCCTGGAAACACACCTCTGGGAAGGCTGCTGGCACCTTTCTTCTCCTGAATTGAAACCTGGATTAACAAAGAAATGAGGAAAGTATCCCAAGAGGCTTTTTTAATTTCTGGGTCATGTGTGCTAAAGGTTGACTTTTTTAAGGGATCTGGCTACGTTGTATCAGTAAGAATGATCATACTAATTTAATTCTAAGGCAAATATTTGGTTCATTTCATCGAGTGGCTACGTTGAGAGCCTACTATGTGATAGTTGCTGTGCGAGGCAGTAGACATAGAATATTTCATTAGGTAGTACCTTATCTCTGAACGGTTGACCAACTGTCCTGATGTACCTAAGCCTCTGGGGTCCCCAGGGTACATGACTTTCTTTTTTAAAACCAGAACAATCTCCAAAGGCTTTGATTCCCTCCTAACTCATCTCCTCCATTTACACCTTCTCCTAACAACTCACCTCTGTGAGTTCTAGAAACATACCTAGGATCATGCCACACTTCCTCACTACTCTTCTCATCCAGAACAAAACCCAAGCCTTTATTTCCTACACAAGTGTCCTTACGTCCTGTGCTCTAAAAATGCTCTTCTTGTTGCTAATGTCCTGGTAAGCTAAATAGGCTTTCACTCCAAGGCTTTCCATTTGCTGTTCACTCTGAGTAGAATATTTTTTAACTAGATCTGCCCAAATATTACCTCCATATACTGGCTTTTTTCAAGGCTCTTATCCAACTGTTTCATGGTTGATTTTTCTTTATAGTACTTATAACTACACAGCATCAGATTGTATGTTGAAGTTTGTTGGTCTACTGTCTGCGTCACCCGTTAAATTTTAACTATAGATTGTAGAATCTCTGTGTTTTAATCACCAAAGCATGTCAGTGTCTAGCCCTTAAACAGAAGCTCGGTGAATTTTTTTGAGGGAATGAATGCATGCATCATAATGATGGTAATCATAGGTTTTATCTTTGTCTGTTAGGTCATCAGTTTTTATTCCTAAAATGTTATAAGAGGCAGAGGATGCCTGTGACCCATCGCTCATCCATATCCAACCATACTGTGCAGGTGCTGTCATGTTCCTGACTTTACTTTTCATTGTTAGTGTTTATCAATTACACAGCTATAAAAATACATTCTCTTTTTCCTGTGGTAAGATCTTTCTCAAAATTTTATTCATACTTACTAAGGTTATGTGAAGTAACAGTTAATTTTAAGTTATTAAATGTGAATAATTGCAAAACACTTTCTATTTTTACTATTGAAAAATAAATAACCCAAGATGACTACCCGAATAAATATCCTGGACAGAACACGGCATCAGTGTTTTCCTCAGACAGAAGACCATGTGTGAAACAGGAAATCTCATAGCAAGACTAGGTAAAGAAAGAAGTCAAACATATAAGAAATGCCATAATCACAACTGATGCA